CCGATCGTGACAAAGAAAAGCGGCTCGCAGCTCTTCTACGGGATGGGCTTTGGCCGACAGTCTCTCCCCAGCAAAGGTTTCTGGGAAAGGTCAAGGGGTCCTGACTGCAATTTGACCCCGGGGCACAAGACCACAGGCAGAGAGGCGTGACTTCAGTCTCAAGCAGCCAGGCAAGGTCACGCGACTCTCGGCACAGATTCTCACAGTCACCGTTTGCCTGCCCCATTTTTCGAATGGGAGCCGAGACGCAGACGGAAGTTTTCATCAACGCGATGTTAATTAAAAGCGTGCGAGACTCCCACTCGAATTACGGCACGTGTATAAATACCGTATGCTAAATCTGTAATGATCCATCGATTATAATCAATTATTTTTCATGCACACGGTACATTCATTGACTCGTGCGTGTGAGAGCAAGTTAATATTTTATTTAATCGCGGGATTTTATTTTTCGAAGCAATTCACACGAGCAACATTAAACACACTGCCTGAAAAGCGTCCTTAATTACAGAGCCTATTGTTGGAATTTCACAGATTTGGCCCTTTTAATAAACACAAGAGTGGTGGGGGATGGGGGGGAGTATAGAGCTGTGGCATGTTGGCTCACAGGGATCTCATGCCATTAGCAAGGTGTGTGTGTGTGTCCGAGGCTCACTTGAGTGGATTACTTGGAATTTACTCAATTGTATCAGACTCAAGAGGTGTGGTGATCTGAGTTGACCCCTGAGCAGGATTGTAACTTACCACCATCCAATTGTGAGTGAGGCACCCAAAGTTTTTCTGTCACCTGACCACTTCACACCCTTATTTGTATGTTACGTCTGGGAGATACAGAAGACTGCATGCTGGATGCTTGCACGTCCCATGATATAGCCACGCAATACCTATTCATATCATTATGTTGCCACCGGTACTAAAAATGCAGGGCCGTCATCTGTTGATAATTATTGATCCAACTTCTGAGTCGTGGTTGGTTTAAACTCACAGCTCAGTCGAGGTAGCAAGCCTGGGACATGGATCAAACCCACCATAAATCTCCGCCACACAGCAGTTGCATTTGCACATAGACCTCCGCTTGCCAGATCGCCTTGGACTTGACACAACAGACATCTGCGTGTGTGTGTGGGTACGGTGGAATTGTTCCGCCGATTTGACACCGTGTCGGTTTGCGTGCCGCCACCCCTACCTAACCCCCCCCTCCCCCTTACCGCACGTGACTGCGGTGCTGCCCGGCTAACAGCCGTGCAGCAGAGCTGAGGACGGCCTTTCGACGTTCGAGACCGCGCACGAAGCGATCGAGCTCGATGACGTGAGAAAATCGGATGCTGGTTATATTAATCTGGTGCCATAATTGGTGTCTGCACCCTTCTCATGAGCACGAGGCTCCCACGAAAACGCCACCGCTCCTCTCGGGCCACGTCTCCCGTCGCATGAATCGGATGTCGACCTTTGATCGCAAGCGTGAGGAGGAGGAGGAGGAGCGAAGAAGCCGGTTTAAACAGGGGTGCGCTTGGCAATGTCGCAAAATCGCCGCCCCGGTTATAAATACACGGCGGCCGCTGTGTTTGTTTTCATCGGGAGGCTTGCTGCAGGGAACAAAAGGAGCCACTGAAGGACACTCCAGATGAAAACGGGCGTGCCTGCCCATCCCCGCTGCGACTTGTTGTCGGGAATGTCCCTCCTGCCCTCCTCCCCCTACAGTTTCTGCCTCCCCACCACCGTCCCCACCGCCCCCATCACATCAGTCCGAGCCTCAGTTTCTGGTCTGCAAGGTTTAGTCGCCAGGCTTGTGCCGTATAAGTTGTGGGGCATTTTGCTTGGTATGATAACCTTTTAATGCAATACAACACAAAAATACAGAGGGCGTACGTGTGATAAAGCTTTGAATTGTATGGACTTAAGTGCTGCTCACGAGCACCTATGAAGGCCAGCATGGCACACACGTTGGTGGGTGACTAGCACAGCACCCGGCCGTCTTTGTCTCCCTAGTGCCAATGTTTATATACCGCACCAGGTACACATGAGGCTGAGTCGACCTTGGGGGGAGGCCCAGGACCGGTTCAGATAATTGTCACTGGTGTTGGCCATGAGTGGGAATCGAACTCTTGTTGCCGGGTTCATTGCGCATCACGCTAACCGCTGCGCCACCGCTCCCTGCTGCAGTCCCAACACGCGCACGGGCACGGGGCTTGTAAATCCGACCTGCACGCTCCGCGATGTTTTTTTATCCAGGGAGGCGGCAGGTAACGCAGACGCAAACGCCTTGTTCTGCTCACGGGGCGCGGAAGTGAGCTGGCTTTAATAGAGGAAAAACAGGAAATGGGCTTCAGTCACGCCGCGGCGTTTTTAATCTTTACCAGATGGAGGGGGCCCGGCGCCTGCACCCCCATTTACCCGAGTCGTCACCCGCTGGCACGTAGCGGTGATCTCAGCCTCTCTCGTTAACACGTGCGTGCCTTATTTTGTTGGCGTGCCGCCGGCCAGGGTAGCCTGGCGGTCAGCACACTCGCTCTAAAACTATAAGCTAAACAATTTTTCTTATTTTACCGGTTAAGGCCCACTCAGTCATGTAGCTCTTTTCCAGAAACGACCTGGCCATAACAAATGATAGCCAAATGAATTGGCTTATCATGTGGAAATTTATAGCAGCCAAATGCTCTTAAACGCATTTTTCTAAATGTGGAGGGCAATACCGAGAGTACCCAAAGAAAAAGCCACACAACCACGGGGAGAGAGACACGCAAACTCCAAATATACAGCAGCGTCAGGGTCGGGATCGAACCCACGACCTCCTGTATACCAGGCAAGGTCGTTAACATCTCGCTGCCCAACACTTATTGCCACCAAGCCGATCGTTCACGGGGTCGACAGTTTGATTCCTGCTCCTGCCGCGTTGTGTTCTCTGCGGCGAGGAAAATGTATGCCTGAGTGCCTGCAGTCGTGGATAGTGCATTGCACTATTTACCCGTTAATGACCAAATAACAGTGCTGAATATTTGGTCGACTCGGCAGCCTTAAAAGAGTACCTGGTGCACTGTATAAACGTCAGCACAGGGGAGACAAAGGCGATAGTGCGTGGTGTTGGCCACCCAACCTCCTCGTGTACGGTGCCGGCCTTAAAAGGTGCTCGCCAACAGCAGTTGCCCCAACAGCCTGTGTAGGCTATATACGGGGGTTCTTTATATTTGTCTGGCATTGTGGTTAGAGAGCTGGAAGGTTATGAGTTCATATCCTGCTGTGGTGGATGAAATGAGCAGTGTTTTGCAGGAATTCAACAGTTTCCGTTCTTTGAGAAGATTGAACTTCTACTGCTAGTTCAAGGCCATCACAGGAAATGTTACGTGCTGTGGTTGTCATTACTGTAAGGCATGCTGTGGTGCAGTGATTCATGAATTCGCAAATAATGTTATGCCTATGGTGCATGCGTTGAATCGTGCATGCGTGATACATTATTTACAATTCGTTCAAGTCGATATGCTTATTGTACGCTCGCGTTACGGTGAGCTGTTGGAGTGAACAAAACTCAAAACCAGGCAGAAGCAATGGGAAACAATACGAACTATTAAATTATTGAATTGAGTCGTGAGCCTGAAGCGTGACGATTCATCGAATCTCTGGGGGAATGAACAATCACGTGGCCCAGCGGTAGAGCATTCCCCACTTGTTGCAGAGAATCATGGGTCGAATCCAGTGGCCGTCATGAATGTTACTTGGGGTGTAAACTAAACTTAAAACTATTTATTTTACCAGGTAAAACCCACGTATTGTCTTTTTGTTCAGAGGTAACCTGGCCACACATGATAGCTCATTAATGTGGCTTATATCATCACGTCTGGAAATTTATAGCAGCTAGCCAAATATTAATGCATATTTCTAAATGTAAATGGGGGGAAAAACAGGACCCGAATAAAAATCCACGCAATTACCACGGGGAGAGAGAGAGAGAACACGCTGGCTCCAAATATACACCAGGCATTGTCAGGGTCGGGATCGAACACATGCCCTCCTGCATACCAGGCGGAGGGAGATAACGTCTTGCGACCACCATAAAAATACTACACGCCTTCTGCTTCACTCATAGGAGGACGTTAAAGATCCTGTGACATCATTCACGAGAGTAGGGCATTGTGTGCTTGACATCAGGGTCTATATTTGCCGAATTCTAAAATTACACCACAAATTACTCAATTGGGACGGTACATAGCAATTGTCTTCCACGACTGGCAAACTAATGCCCCAGGTCACTCTGGCAAATCAGACTATCCTGGTCTCTTGGGTTGATACCAAAATAAACTGAACTGAACTTAAACTATATATGCATGCTTTTACTATACAGTACTATTATAATTGTGTGTGTGTGTGCTGCTATAGTTGTAGAGTTGGACTTTTAATTGGAAGGTTTCTTTGTTCAAATTGTGGCTGGGAGTCGGCTCAACCCACCATCCCTGCTGGGTGAAATAAATGAGTTCCATATTTTTGGATGTCAACAATGGTTGGTCTATAAGAGACTGGATGCCACCATAGGAAATTTGGAATTTCCACCACCGGCTGATGGCTGTCCGCATTGATGGGCAAAGCCTTACTGCATTAATTTAAGGGAGACAAAGACTTGGATGTATGATGATAATTGCTTAAGTATATGTTTGATAACATTTTATGCCCATGAGCAGTGTTATTCTAAACACTAACCAACTTTTACTCTCTCCATATTTTGTTGTTATTATTTGCCATTGAAAATGTTTCAATAACGTAGCCGTTTATTATCCAGATATATGTACCGCTGCCTCCAAATGTCTCACCGTGTGTGGCGTCTGCGCTTATAAATATTACACAACCCCTTTTTCAATATTCATCCGTAACCCTTGACCGGCGCTCTTGACAGATGGTGGTGAATGGTGCTCGCTGCTTCCTTCCAAGGTTGGGTAACGGCCGTGATTGTTGGAGCGAGGTGACCTATTGACCCTGCCTCTGTCTGTCTCTCTCTCCTCTCCCACTTGAAGGCCGAGTGATTTCTTTAGGGGGCGGGGTGAAGCCGTTCTACCGACCACAAAGGGGGGGGGGGCACCTCCTCGGCTCCTAGACCCCCCCTCCGGGGTCATCTCCTCCGTGACCTTCTCGTGACCCCGCTGGACCACCCCACCATGACTCCTCGACCCTTCACCCCCGACCCCGTGTCCTCCTTCACTCCCGATGCTGGTGAGACGATTTCTATTCCCTGTCGCTAAAAAAAAACCGGCTCATATTCTTCCCCAGTGTCGGGCAATGCCACATGCTGGTCGGTATGCTGTCGGACGTTTTCTTCGCATGCCGGTGTCTTCTTTGGGAGCTGAAAGTTCAAGGACTGAAATCAGATGTCGTGCTGGACAACGCCACTGTACAGCACAAAAAACACATCGGAGATCTACGCAGCAGCACAGCCGTGAAAATCTACGCAGTAGCAATTCCCGTGTTGTAAATATGTAGCAAAACCTGCGCATGTCAGGCCATCTGATGCGAGTTCTGAAGCTTCCGCCGTAAAGAAAAAAAACTTTTAATTTAGAGTGGAGTGCGCTACCGGATTGCGCCTTTATAAAGTTACCGTTTTGGCGTATTGCAGTGCAAGAGTGACGTCGTAGTGATGTCAGTAGAGTGCTCTAATGAAGGGTGAGACAATAAGTGAAAGTGTTTGTTAGGAATAAAAGTTAAAACTCACGTCCTGCAGCCCAGAACACACAGCCTAGACACACGACCAATAGATATGTTGTTATTTTTATTTGTTTGTCTCTTTATTTAATAACATTCCATAGAGTTGACGGGTGCAAGTGACATATTGGCAGACAACCCCCTTGAGCCTGATTGATGAGCGTTGTTTGGGTGCCGGGTGGATTATTACACCGCAGGGTCATGAGACATGGTGGCGGCGGCTTGGGCAGGCCTTCTTCCGCTGTTGCATCGCATTGACCAAGGCTGGTGATGATGATGATGGATCGTTCCATCTTGGTAGAGCTATTGGGGAAAAATAACACGGGCACAGAATTGTCCTCCAGGCTTACACGACCTTCCACAAATGTGCGAATCAAATCAGAAATCTTTAACCTGTAGCCTTGGGTCTGTGGCCTTCACACTGCGACGCAGAGCGTGTTTTGCGTTTGTCCATCTAGCACTGAAGGCAGTGAACGAAAACCAATCTAAGATGACTATACAGGCGTGTGCCCTGAATGCGTGCACGTCTATTTAGACGAGCATCAAATTTGATTCTTGCACTCCCAATGCATGCAATCGCATCGGCGCTGTCAAGAGTGTATAATTTACGATTGATGCAAATACCATGATATACCAAGGTTAAGTTTAGGCTGATGGAGTGAACAAAATATGTACAAATAATAATTGTAAAAAAATATGATGCAATACAAATGTCCGTGTACCCCCGTGCATGCCCATGCCACGCACGTGCTCATCTTCGTACCGGCGTACCCGCTCATCTGCTGTGCCCGTGTGCGTGCCCGTGTACCTGCTATTGAGCGTGTCCGTGCGCGCGTGCCTGTGTGGTGGCTGTGTGAATGTCCATTCGCGCGTGCGCGTGTGCCCGCAGGTGTCGGGAACCCGGGGGCCAGTCGCTGCGACGACATGGCGGTGCGTACCTACGAGGTGGTACCGGCGGCCATCGCCGCCACGTGCTGCCTCTTCGGCTTGATCTACTGCTTCTTTGGTGGGTGTCGTCTCTCCTCCAGCCTCAGTTTTTACCTCCCACGCGTTTTCGCCGGCAGATCTTTGCCAGTGACCCGCTTTTGAATGGCGTGCCAGATCTCATCGGAACTCCGGAGCTGAGCGAGGGTTGAGCCTTTGTTGGAACGCACCTTCCGATTAGAGCGGTTGGCTGTGGTAATGGTTGCGAAAGACGTTCAACGTTGCATACACTTGGATGGGCGAACGCGCGTCAATGAGACAGGTGTTATCGGTTGCTTCGGGGCTGATGTAGTGGGCAGCGGAAAGCAGTGCATCACAATCATTAGACTGCGTCGTGTTCCCGTGTCTGCTCCTCGCTTTCGCCAACCTGTACCCTAAGCGGGTAACCTGGTGCTGTCGGCTTGGGCTCTGCGAGGTGGCCAGTTGATGGCAGTCCAGCACAGGATTCTTGAATATATCTGTGTGGAGCTTTGAGCGTCAACGCCGGGTACTCTGGTTTCCTCACCCATGCTCGACATGCGTTAATGCAATTGGCCAAACATTCTAATCAATGCAGGACCTTCTTCAGAAAGTGTCCTGAGACCTGGCAGGCTGTCGTGGGCATTATTACATGTGTTTGAGCAGGGGCGGAGCCAGGATTTTCAGCCCGGGGTGACATTCAACACATTTTAATTTCAAGAATTATTATAGAGTCAGGCTGTTGAACTAGACGCCATCGGTTGGCGACACACTCTGACAATGCAGTTGGCACGGAGTCCGCCAGACCGAGTGTCGTACACTTACACGCAGAATGTTTCAGATTTTCGATTTTTTAAAAAAATTTCGGGGGTGACAATTGTCTACCCTGTCCACCCCCCTGGCTCCGCCCCTGTGTTTGAGCATTAAGGGCAGAGGGGTGAGATGGATGACTGTGGATTGTGGGACTCATGTTTCCGGCACTGTCTTTTTACACACGTGCAACATGCCCACGCAAATGTATTGTCCGAGATTAAACGTGTAAACTCCCACGACAGGGGCATGACCAGATTCCCACGTCTGTAACATTGCCCCAGTTAGTGTTGAGACGGCTCGGTTCGGAAGAGTTTATAATTGGCCTAACAGCTCGCAAGTGCGATCAACGCCGATCCGTTTGCACCTGGTTAATGGTTGCATTCTCGTGATGGCTGCCGCGGTAATGCTGACGAGAGACGGGGGATGAGACGCGGGGAGAGAAAATCGGAGAGGAGTGAATAAGTGGTGGGAGAGATCGAGAGGGAGAGGAAAAGTGACAAAAGTAGAAACGGAGAAAGACGCAAAAAAAAGAGTAATAGAGAGGGGGGAATTTGAACAATCATGAAGAGAAGCACGAATATGAACTTGAGAGAGGGAAGAGAAGGTGTGAAGTGGAGAGAGCGAGGGAAGAAGGATTATAACAAACGGAACGAGATAATACAAAAGAGCGAACATATAAAACTCAAGAGCCACAATGATAAGAACGATGCGAAGATATGGAGCAAGAACGAGAGACGCGGAGCGAAGTGGATTCCAGGGAGCGAGAGAAACGGAGGCGGACAGACTTAGAAGAGAGAGGGGAATATTGAATCCACTGCACAAACAAAGAGAAAGGCGGCCAATAGCGGCTGTGCACCTTTGGCCGATCTGTTGGCAAAGGAGATGCAGAGACAGCCGCCCACGTGGATAATCGTGCATTAACAAGAGCCAGATCTGCATCTTAAGAGGCCTGGGCTGCACCCCCCAGCCCCTACCGCCCACGGCTCCCTGCCTCCACCCCCACCCGATTCTCCCTCCCCCCTTCCCTGCACAGACAGCGCCGCTGTGAAATCAAATGAGGCAAGTGCCACGTGTATGGCTCTGTTTTGGCTAGCGGTGAATTTAAGTGGCGTGTGACTCACCCGGCAAAGACGCACGCGCATGCACCCTGGTGTGTGTGCGTGTGCACACGCCCGGTGTGCATGCGCGTGCAGATGTGTGCCGAGACGCAGGTCACCCATATACCGCCTTAGAGACTGTTGGGGTATAACGGTAATAATTTAGAGCTCGTAATAATTCATAAGTAAGGTTTTTGGGCTGGATCGCGTAAATATAAATGTGTCGTGAACCCACCACCACCCGATACAGCCAATTAGTGAGGTTTGTCAGGTGAACAAAACGTGCCAGTTAGGTTTTAATTCAGCACATCATCAGTGTGATGGCGAGTAAAAACCCACAACATTTAGGATTGAGTGACGTTTTTGTGTAAACGTGTGATCATTTCTCTGGTGCCTTAGCGATGCGTAAAAAAAGCAAATGATAACATCTGACTTGCAGTGCGAAGAATTCAATAAATCGGAGCTCGTTGTCATTCGCTGCCGGATGAGTGCCTCCCCCAAGCTGTGTCGTTCATGGGGGTTGTTTGGTCATACTTCGCCACGCTGGTCAGTGCGGGTTGGTGAAGGGGTGAGGGGGCCAGGACCGGTTCAGATCTTACACGCCGCTGAAGTTAGCCACTGCTGGCAATTGAACTCAGGTGCGGGGCGCAGGGAGCTAATCACTGTGCTACCGCTCTGCCCCGTAACTTATGTACGTACAATGAACTAGGCTCTCATTTTTGGATGAGTGGACTTAGGGGAGGCCGAGATCAGATTTAGCTACCATCTTTGTCGGGTGTGTATCCACAAATTGGAACCACCTCATGACGTATTGATCCATCCGTTACTATTGATTTCTTCGGCTCACGAGACAGGTATGACATTCTCGGTATACGAATTGATATTTTAGCATTCGTATGTGATGAACGTCATGAATCTATGTTACTCCTGTAGCTACGAGAGGAAGTACACTCACTACAATGTCGAGAAAAAAATCCACATACACCACGAACATATGTCCTTCACTTGTAGACTACACACAAACAGCCGTGAAACAACAACAACCATCGTTATCTATTTAGTGGCGGTGACGTCCGAAGACGCTTGTGCCAGGCTAGGTGCTCCTTGAGCACACATCTGACGTAAGGTGTGAGCACGCATGTACACACACACACACGCAAACAGAAACAAATATATACAAATATACATCACCCACGTAGAACACAGTACATTTGTGTGTGCACTGAAGTTTACACATACTTGCAGGCACATCTGCTAAATTGGAAACAGATTATTTTCCCTTTTCCAAATAAAAAAAAACGACTATTTTCTCGAAATATTTCTTCAAGGGGAAACCCTGCCAAGTCTGGGGGGGGGGGGGGGGTTTGGCCTCAGCGTCCCGAAACCACAGTCGAATGAAACTTTACCCAGGACAAGTATAAAATGAGAGCTTTAAGAAGGACAACACTTACCACAAACACGCGCTTGCAGCCTGACCAACTCAGCGCAGTTTTCGACGCCCCAGGCGTGTGGGCGTGTTTGTGGGTGGGTTCGTGGTGGTTAGCACTACACCGTGTTATGAAACGAACAATCGAGTTTGGTCCCGATCACTGCTCGTGGTCAACAAAAATTGGCATCCACGATGTTTATTCGGCCTAAACCACGTGACGCCTTGTGCCGAAAGAGTTGGGCGCGATTGAGAGAGCACGTGAACGTTTGTGCACGTTTGGGTATGCTGCATTTTTGCCGCGAGTGTGTAGGAGCGTAAATGAAATTCATTCTTTCATCCAGGAGAGCCATGCCGAGTCTCAAGACTGTGTGTCAAGGGGCGGTCCAGCATCGGGATGTTGGGCCAATTCCATTTCAATGGCCTTGGTTTTTTTTTACGTGTGGGATAAAAGCAGAATGCCTGGAGAAAACCCACGCATACGCAGATACATCTTATGAGTAACAATTATTGAAAGTTGTAACGCGCTGCGCAGGTGCGAGAAACTGGTAGTCTGGCGCCCAGAATTGCCCAAGCTTTGCGGTCCTCTGTATATTCAGGTGTAATCGGCCAATTAATGAGCGTTTACAAGTCTGTACATTTGACACATAGCTGGCCACCTCACCGCCCAGAGAGTCTGTGAGTTTCACCAATCTCTCTGTGATCTGTCAACCATCACCTCTGAAAATGGTAGGCCACAGGTGTGTGCCAGTGTGCCCCACTCACTTGCCATTCCATGGGTTGACTCGTTCTAAATTGCACAAGACCAAGTTCTGAGAGATTTGTGTTCTGCAGGGGGGCGGAGTGAGAGCGTGGCAGGGATTGTAATTGTGAGAATGTGCTGCTGATGAGAGCACTTAAATGCACGTGTAAGTGTGCGCGGCAGCATACGGGGCTATGCAATAAATCGAGTGAGTGCAAGTATACGTGTGTGAGAGAGCTTCTTGGGGGAGCCTTGTAAAGCTTGGGGGAGCCTTGTAAAGCTTGAGAGAGCAAGATTGTGCACACAGGTGAATGCCGGGAGTACACGTGTGTGTGGCGCAAGAGGGTGTGAATGCGCAGTGGTGAACAAGAGTGCGCACGATGCTGGAGAGTCCTGGAGGGCATCGGCACGTGCGGGGAAGCACGCATGTGTGAATACGAGAACACGCGTGGAGGTTCAGGAGTTTACAAGGACATTGGTCATCGGCGAGTCTGCACAACTACCATCCCGACCCGCTCGTAACCTCCTGCCCGTGTCCCCTCCAGCACTGTGACCCTCTGCCCATCTCACCCCACCATCTCCCCCACCCCCCCTCCCCAACTCCAGGCTACCGCTGCTTCAAGGCGGTCATGTTCCTGACGGGGCTGCTCTTCGGTTCGCTCGTCATCTTCCTGCTCTGCCACAAGGAGCAGGTGTTCGAGGCGCGCCTGGGCCTGGAGGCGAGCGCCGGCGTGGCGGTCGCCATCGGCCTGCTGTGCGGCCTCGTGACGATGCTCCTCCGCTCCGTGGGCCTCTTTGTCACGGGCCTCACGCTGGGCCTGCTGCTCGCCTCGGCCGCCCTGGTCGTCGCCGAGCAGTTCGCCCACCCTCCGTCGGCCTGGGTGCCGGCGGGCGCGCTGCTGGGCGCGGGCGTGGTGTGCGCGCTGCTGGCGCTCCACTGGCAGAAGGCCGTCACGGTCGCGGCCACCTCCGCGCTGGGGGCAGCGGCGGTGACGGCGGCGGCGGACTACTTCGCGGAGGGCGGCGCGGCGCTGGCGTACGCGTACGAGCGGCTGCACGCGGCGCGCAGCGAGGCGCCGCCCTGCTGGTACAGCTGGGCCGTGATGGCGGCGTGGCCCGTGCTCGCCCTCCTGGGCGGCGTAGTGCAATGGAGGCTCACGGCCGACGGCTACTCGCACAGCGAAGGTAACGCGGCAACGGGCGCCGGAGTTTGACGGTTTCCAGCCGTGGTTCAAAGCCCCACGTGTGTGCTGCCTTGCGTGCGTTGTGTGTCCATTCCGTCTGGCTGTCCATATGTAACGGAGGGTGGCACTCCAGCTCAATGTTGTGTTCTCCGGTCGTGCCGCGTGTCGTTTGGCATGAATGCCCGACATTTCGCTCTATGTCCCTGGAAGCTTTTACGGGAACCCAATTGTGAGCTCCCGGCGCGCGGAGCGAAATGTACGGGTGCATGTGAAGGATGTCAGAATTTGATGGTGAGGGTTGGGTGAAAGACTTTGAAATTGAGACTAAGAGTGCGGTGGTGAAGCTTGTGTGAGTGCATTTTCTTTTGAGTGGTGGGTGCATGCAGAGGACGCTCAGGATTTATGGCAGTATAATGGGCATGCAGCTTTGAAGTTCAGGTGTAACGTGGCTAGAAAGTGCGCGTGAAAGCACTTTGTTTGGCATATCGATGCACGTGTGAAGGGTGTTGAAAATTCGTTATGAGGATACAGGAACCAATTTGGAAGTTCAGAATACAATGTAAGGGATCATTTTCTTGAGTGCAAGTTCCCTTTCCGTATAGGTGTGCTGAGTGGAGCTCGTGTGCAGGGTGGTGGAGGGCAGATTACCGAGATGGGCAATGAGCCGCAACAAGGACTGACGACCAAGGGAAACACTCTGAGGGTCCGATTCTCATCTCAACAAAACGACCGAAATGCGTTGGCGATCGTCAGTGATGGGAAAAAAACATTTGTCGTGTTTCTGCCAAATATCGCCCGGAAAAAGAACATTCCCTGAGCCTGGAATTGACCCACACGGTCTGGTACTGCAAGAACAGACCTGGGAGCTGGCAGAAAGAAGGAAGCAATGACACGCTGTGGTGGTGACTGCCGCCTCTTGCTTAGGCGAAGTGTATACAAGCAAAGTATTTCTCTGTATAAATAGAACAACAACATCAGCCGATTGACTTTTCAGACCAATATTCTCAAGCAGTATTTGAGTGTGTAACCAGGAAAACTCTGAACTGGTTATTTATCCCCTGGGTCCCTTCAGCATTGAGAAGGCCTATTATATAAATACTGCTGGGTTATGGGTTCCTATTTGCAAGAGCACTCCCATCCAAACAAATGGAATGGTTGAGCCCCTCTGTATTGCAGCAGGGCACAAGACAAAATTATAAATGTGTCCCCAGAACTGTGCGCAGTCATCGTTGGCCTGGTTGAAACCATCGGCGTCCTTCGCACATGACGTGGCCAGATTCCTCACTCGGTGGGCTCGTAACGGCCAAAGTCATCTCACTGAGTCAGCACTGCTTGGGTTCTGGGTGTGAATCCAGGCTACCGCATGATATGAAATCCCCCACCCGTTGTGTTTGGCGAGTTGAGTGGGTCAGGTGTCCAAGAGCACTGAGCGCCACTTTGAAATCTCGCGCAGTAAGAAAAAATGTGAACCTTGCTTTTGAATGGGATTTGATCCCAGTCACTCTAACGTCGCTCGTGCCGCGCGCGTTTTCTGTGCTGCCGCAGTCATAATCAGGCACCACCGCAAGCGTGTGCCGCTGAAACGCATCAGGCAGCAGGACGCGCGGAAGCGAGTGCGCGGAGCAGCGCAGCCCGAGGCCACATACAGGCGCAAGCCCTGCTCCGTCAAGCGCATCGATGGAGATGTCCTTTCTCCGGTGGGAGCCTGGGGTCACCCTGCACTCACTCACCCTGCACTCACCCACCCTGCACTCACCCACCCTGCACTCACTCACCAGAAGCACATGTGAAAGCGCACGATGCAGTGATCGCTTTTGTTCGATGGCTAGCCAAAAGCCACTGCGAAGATGTACCGGGCTTCCCGTGATGGTTTATGCTCCTTGACGAGATCAGCAAGGCAATGTTGGTTCATTTGTGGTAAGCACTTTGTGTGCAGCCCTTGCTGCACCGTCAGTCGTTATGAATATCGCACACAGAGTAACGATGTGCCTGTCTCTGGTCCCCTCCTCCTCCTCCCTCCACCTCATCGCCACCACCTCATCATCCTCCTCACCACCCCCCCACGTGTGATCGCAGAGCTACATCCGCAGCGTGCGCGATCGGCAGCACGGCACGTCGCTCAGCAGCCTCGCAGCGCCGCCCCACGCCGTCGTGGACGTCGAGTTCGACTCCGGCTCCATGGTGCCTCTCACGGCCGCAAACCGTGCCGCGCGAAAGTGACGCGGCGGCTGGGGTCCTCCTCCCCGGTGGCTGCGCCACCGTTGTTGCCACCGCTACGACGACCACTACTGCTCCTACTAAGGCCGCCACTACTGCCAGCCAGCCGTCACTGTTTTAAATTGCTAGCAACCGTTAATCGTCGCCGTCGTGTCAATCTTCACCAGCACCACCGCAACCGCACCACCGCCCGCGCCGCAATCACGTTGCCACTACCATTATCGCCACCGCCACCATCTCAATAATAACCGGTACTTTCGGAACCGTTACCATCATCACCGTACCACCACCACCGCTGTTCCCACGATAAATACCACTTTCAGCACAGCACCACCACCACCGTCATCATCACCACGCCGTCACTCCCACCACGACAATCTCCCACCAACGCTACTATTTTCGTAATTACCATGACTGCCATCACATTACACTATGTCATCATCAACCACTCGCAGCACCACCTTCGCACTATTAACACCACTATAGATAGTATTCACCACCGCCATCATCGTCACCGTCATCTTTTGCAATAGGTATGGCGGTTTACATTTTGAAGATAATCAGTTGCTTGCAGTTAATGGAAGAGTAATACAACAAGTAATGAGATCAGCCACATAGTACAGGGGTTAGAGTTGACATGGTACCGATGAAAGCAAAGGGCCAGGGATAAGGAAGTGTGTAGGAGGTGAGCGTGGGTGTTTTGGGGTGGGGGGTAAAATGCTGGGGAGAGTTATGTTGAGGATAAGAGGTACAGGAGGGAGTCAGCAGAGATTGCAGGGATGGGTCAGGATATTTTCCATTTTTATAGCTCCATGCCGTAATTAATTTAGGCTATTATTTTGCACTTTTATCTGTTTTTCTTGCTTGTTTTAACAAGATAAATGGCCCTTGACACATCCCCGGATCATAATATCCATGCTGAGCTGTAAACAACCCTCCCCTTCCTTATATGTGGCTCGGTCTCACATCAAAACACATCGGACACAGGGCTATTGTGAAATGGTGAAACACAGAAATGTATTTACCGCACAAGGCTCTTACAATTTTTATATGGTTTTACCCAAGTAAACTATTTAGAGATCCTCGCCAAACCCTTATGGTCCGGTGTTATTGTGACGCACACCCATGGCCAGTGCCGTGGCCTGGAGGCCGGTTTGGTGGCTCATGCATGGAGGAACGTGCCCAGTTCCTTAGTCAAGCCACTGCTGGACTAGGGCCTCCCCGTGCCTTTGCGTGCCATGAGGGTTATTTGACCATTCTTCACCACGCTTGTCAGTGTTGGGTTGGTGAAGGTGGCGAGCATTGACCTGGGGGCATAAAAGTAGAGTACAGAAACACATTCTTCTGCAGCGTCCTCTGCTGACCACCACTTTAGCACTTCCTCGCCGCCGTCTATGACGACCTGCCATGCGCAAGTGCTTCACCCACCACCCCCAATCACTTTCCAGGCTCAATCCCGCTGAGATTCCCAGATCTGGCGAGGGTCTGGCGCAGTCCGGGTGATTTGGTCCCAGGCCATGGAGCGATGCGAGTCCCTGAACTGCCACTTGTAACAACGGCCACCGTGACGATGGCGAGACGCAGACCTGTGGGGTGATGAGGCCGGTGCCTTTAGTCGGCGGTACTGACCGCAGTTTTGATAAGCTTATCCATGCTGAAGGGTTTTGAGAGTTCCCACCTTTGCATGGATTTTCTCCAGGCACTCCAGTTTTGTACCACTTTACAAACGAAGGAATTGTACTGCGTAGGTTTCTTTTTCGCGTTTGTGCCGTACTGTATAGCTGTACCTTTGGGGTTTTTTTTTCCGTTTGCACCGCGACGTGTTGTTTGGCATGATGTCAAGACGCTTCGCTCCACGTGCTGGCAGCTTCTTCACGAAGTGAATCGACTACGAATCTCCCACCGTGCGGAGTGAAATGTCGGGCATCGTGTCCCGAGGGGGGGTGGGGGGGGGACGCCTCACGGAAACAACCTCTGAGAACCTGTTGCAGAGTCAACAAAGGAGTTGGTCAGACAATCCCACGCAGGGAACCCTCCAGGAAAGTAAAAAAAAGAGTCTTAAAGACTCGGTGAAGCTTGCCAGAGCAAAGGGCGTCAAACTTTAACGTGCGACGATTATTACGTCTTGTAAAATGCCTTGCATCGGGACGAGCGCATCACGGCAACGACATTTTACCAACGCCTCATATTTCACAGTCGTTCACTTATGGTTAGTGTTCATTTGTTACCCTACCGCCTAAATAAATTACTGGATAGAAATATGGAGGAAATAGTGTAAGTTATGCTACTTAATCTAAGAAGAACATTTGCGTGCACAAGTGGCGCGGATGGCTGTGGACATTTGAAGATTATTATTTTTTTGGACAAATGCTTTTTTTTTTCAATTGAGGTATTGCTACATTTTTAAAGACAATTGTCTACCCTTTTGTGTTGTCGTTTGCCAAACCCACGATAGATTTTGGTTTACATTATAGAGTTGCAAATCATGACTAATCATTAGGGGTATAATGGTACGTTGATTCCGATCGATTATTTCGCTCAAGATACAGGTAAGGAATTTTCGGAGCAACAACCAATGTTTTCTGATTCGTATTGCGTGAATGTAATGGGATAATGTCACCACCACCAGCCATTGGAGGCGGCTCTATTCACCACAGTGTTCAAGTTTTAGTTTATCTTGAATCAAATCAACACCCTTAATCGTTGCGATTACTGTAATTTAATCTTGAGGTTAATTTAATTGTCGTACCCGAGTGAATTTTTCTTTCGTCGAATTAAGCTAAATTTGTAGTTGATAGGAATCAACAATTACACACTTAAATGGTACATGTATTTATAAATGTTTTAATGGTGTTTAACAAAGTGTTTTTTTTTTCTTGTAGTTAATTTGGTTATCACAGCGATCCATAAACTGGCTGGTGCTCTGAGCCAAAATAATGCCACTCATTAAACACTTGCGTGGCATGACTGCTAATTGAACTAACCTTTTGAATTCAACTTATAAATAATAATTCCCGCTATAGTTTATAGATGGAACAGTACACAAATTCGTTGAATAATATCGGTTGTTAAACTCGCCAAATACACACGTACGATTGCAAGCGGTTAAATAATCAATAATTCACGATTGGTACATGTCACCACATGCCGTTGGTTCAAGCTGCCCCTGCAACGCATTGCAGTGAATAATCGCGATGATTGTTGATTCGGATCGTCCCGAATTGCACCCTGAATCCTGACCTCGCATCAGAGGGTTAGGGAGGAAGGGTGTGAAGGATATATTTCCCCCCCACCCGTAACAGTTTACATTGCCATCCTAAGCTCGGAATTTTATATTTTGAACGCTGAAATCAAGACTCGCATCTGACGTGCACGTTTTACAGTCATTGTGTGTTTTTTTTTATCACTTCAGAAGAAGTTTACGTAGGGGAACTCTCGCCGTTATTTACCAATCAATCGCACGGGGGAGGGGGAGTCCACATTAAACATGCGGATTTTTTTTTAATCGTTTGGGCATCACTGCCGTGGATTTGTAGAGCGAATTTGTAAAGCACGTTTGTATCGAGTGATTTGAGTAGTTTTTTTTTAGTCGGTTCCAGTCCAGACAGATTAAGTGTCTTGTTTTAGGTTCGTCTGAGAGAGGCTAGCATAGTTGTAGGCCCAGATTTGTTTAACCACTTGCCCTGTTTTCCCCAGGATCGTCCTCTTGTTGAGGCAACTTATCCTGGCATCTCTTAGGCTCTTAAGTCTTCCCGGGACATAGCAATTTCTAGTTTGTGTCGGTTGCATAATAATGCACCACTCAAGGTCATGCATTTGATATGTCGTTCTCCCCCTCTTGTGGTGCTTTGAGATGTTGCCATGATGAGTAACCATTCATTTTTTTTACCTCGTAGGTGGCAACTGTGCTTTGTGGACGCTGCCTGATTGAGCTCGTTAGCACGCCATTATAACCGTACATAATTATTCTGCTACATAAGCTCTAAGATATATGAGGGGGGGGGGGGGAGTTTCCACCTTCATACTTTTATAAATTACCTGTCTAAATCTTGTTTTTGTTGTTTTCGTGACAATTTCTACAGTGTAAATCCAGTTTATTTTTGGGGATAAATGTGAAAAAAACAAGTAGATTTTCTTGTAGCAAACGCTTTGCTCTCTGGGTTATTGCATGCAATTGGGCAGTCATGTGAGCCAGGATGCCCTCGCAATGCAGTGTACCACATGCGGATTGGCTACGTATTGTGCGAGAGGTTCAACATACATAAAAAAGTATTGCGTTAACTTATTTTAGGAAAGTACACAGTCTGTGTTGGCCTTGCCACTCTGGGTTAAATAATACAATATTTCCAGCATATACATTCGTGAAATTCTCTTGTTGCTGTTTTGCAATGAACCAGTGCCTGCTTTGGTCGCTATCAACACGCTTTTGAGCAAAACCTGCCTCTTAAGAACAACATAAATCCTGTGTTCATCCTTACATGCATTATCTTGTGACCTTCATTAACAAACGTGTATGTGTGCTGTTGTAATTACTGTATATCAGTGTGTTCCTAAATAATGCAAAAAAGAAGGGGGTCGTCATTTGTGCGTGCGTTTCATAATCTGAAATGTCTTTTTTTTTGTTTTAGCTCGTGTCTTCGGCTACACGCACAATCGTGCGCCACGACTGTAATCGCAGAGTTTAATTTAAAGCAGATGCTAGGCCTGTCGAGATTTTTTGCATTTTGAAGAAATGTCGTTTCTCGGCGCCCGCGTTTCCACATCGTGGACAAAGCCGCCCTTACAAGTCGCCTCTTATTAAAAGTCGATGTCAAGCTCCTACGGACATTACGAGAAACGTCTGTATACGCATTTGCATGTGGGAAGTGTGTTTCTCCGTTATGCACACCCTATTATCAAACAGGTCCCTGCAGGGTGGGCTGGTAAGACAAGTCTCTGCGCTGTCTATTGCTGATTTTACACCCAACGGCACGAGATTTCACTTCGTTAAAGTATTGAAAGGGGACGGACGGACGCATTAATCTATTGCAGGCTGGTACACTCAGTTTACAACTTCGTTCCTACCAGTAAAAGGCTCGTGACTATAACTCGTGAAATGCCCGTTGAGAGATAATGACTCCCCCAAGACAAAGTTCTCTTCTAGCCTTGCCAGACTTTTGGGGCAAGTGCTGTTAGCGGGCACCTATGAAAGCCTGTACGGCACACGAGGGGATGGGTGGCCAGCACCACGCCCGGCCACCTTCGTCTCCCCAGCGGCAATGTTTACACATTGCACCAGGCACTCATTTGAGGCTGAGTTGACCTAGGGGCGGCCCAGGCTCCCCTCACCCCAAGATACACAAACCTTTTTCCCAAACGCCTCTTGCCTATCTGTTGTAGCATTTTCAAGCGGGGGCTTGTATTTAAACGCCTGGCTGGTTTAAATGGTAAAGTGGATTAGCAGTGGTGGGGCCAATACGGTGAACTGTTGGGTCAAGTTTGTTGTCATTTTTACCTCGTTCGGCAATCAAGGAGGCATCTCCTTTTCGCGCTGGGTGAGGCCAAGCTTTGGCCAACCCTTGGGATGAGACCTTGATTGTAAAGTCACGATGGTGGTGGGGTCCCCCTTGACTGACAAATGGGACGGAGCTAATGCACCCGATGCTTTCAACCTGAGTTGGAGTGCGTTCAGGTGGTAGTGCACAGCCTGAAACACACTACCAGATGCAAATGCAGACGGCGTGTGTTGTAATGTCCTAAGGTTTAGCGTGTGGTTTAAAAAAAGCAATGTGTAGGGATGTGGAAATGTTTAATGTTTACTATCAAAAAGGAACTGTTTGCATTCATGGCGAAAAGAAAACAACTATGTAGGTGTAATTGTGCGTTTGGAAACATTCAGTGTTTTATAACTGTATTTTATGATTAATACTGTAATAATTGTGTTTGAAATAATTTGTACATATGTTGATGGAAGGCGTTTAGTGTTACTTTGTGTGTGTGTGTGTGTTGGCCTGGGTGAGAAGCGGTGGCACAGTGATTAGTGCACCGAGACCGGCGACGCGAGTTCCAATTCCTACTGGCGACCAATGGGCGCGGCAAATCTTTGACCCCTGGGTCGCAACGGCCTTGAACGAGTACCTGGTGCGGTGTGTAACATCAGCACTGGGGAGACAAAGGCGGCCGGGCGTGGTGTTGGCCAACCCCACCTCGTGTGCCGTCATGGCCTGCGTAGGAGCTCGCGAAGAGCAAGCATTGTACAAGGCTATAACGGCGGGGGAGCTTTGTCTTTGTAGCGGCCAGTGGGGAGTAGTGGTTGACGCACTGCGCTTTGAACCCGGCAACCGGACGGAGGTCGCTGCCTGGCCCACGGCTGACATCAAGCATGTTCTTAAGTTGACTCGCCCTTCAACGAGGACCTGCAACAAGTGTGAAAACATCATCGCTGGGCAGACAATGGCCAGCCGGGAATGGTTACTGCACCACCCATCTCCCTCGTGAGCAGTACAGTCATTGAATAGGTGCTCGCTAACAGCACTTGTCCCGACAGTTTGCTAAAGGCTACACGGGGGTTCTTTGTATTGGTCCGAACACCTTTGTGCTGGAAATTGCACGTGTTCATGACGATAGCTGTAACGTTCAATAGGGCTATTGGTATAGCCTTTGTTGCCAAATGATACCACTTCCAGAAGCTTGGGTGGGGTAATGGGGTTGACCACTTGAAGGGAAATCGCATATTTTGACACGAATCATTCCGGTCCATCAAAAAGGGAACATGTTCACCAGCCACGCTCTGTCCACTGCTGTAGAGAACGCCTCCGCGTGTCGCCATCGTTTACGTTACTGCGATGCAGCAAGCCATGTGTTGTTCTGCCGTGGATATGCGTGCAGCGGTGTCAATTGGCTCCTTTGGCTGCCACGGTCATTAGGGGCCGTCCATAAATGACGTCACGCACCTGGGGGGTGGGGGAGTCAGACATTTGTGACGATGTGTGACGAGGGGGGGGGTTTGAGAAATGTGACGTCACATCACAATGCGCAACTTTAAATAAATATAGACAGCACGTTCTACTTATATTCTTGGTTCTTTCGGTAAAGTCACGTGGAAGGGAAACAATTAAATAATAAAAATATAAATCAATAAAATTATCACGACGTTTCGACTGCAACACAAGCAATCATCATCAGGTGTGAAAACCACAGCAATAAAATTTGAATAAAGTAGCGGTTTTTTTACGTTAACACCACGGAGAGCGATTTGGCAGTTATTCAGATGGACGAGTCCATCTATGTTCGGAAAAGAGGAGGGGGGAGACGAAAATAATGGATGCGGTCTGAAAGCCACCGTAAGCGTGAACAATCAATTAAGACCCGAAATGGTTTATCAAATCCTTCCAATGATTGCTAAGCCAGAATCCATCTTCTCGGTTGAAATTGTCTCTGTGTTTGTATATGTGGATAGACTCATGAACGAATCTCTCATGGTAGCCAGATGGCTTGCAAAGAACCTCTGTCTTGGAGAAGGCAATGTCATGTGAGCCTACTGAATTATAACAGTGATCTGCCATGGCCGAGGTGTTGGTCCTACCGTGTTTAGGTCTGCTTTGTGTTCACAAATGCAGTCCGAGACATGTCGTTTGGTTTTTCCAATGGATTTGATAAACCATTTTGGGTCTTAATTGATTCTAGATTTAAAGCTTTCGTGACTGCTAGGATCCATACTCTTTGGTTCTATTGATTGTTCACGCTTACGGTGGCTTTCAGACCGCATCCATTATTTTCATCTCCCCCCCCCCCCTCCTCTTTTCCGAACAGATGGACTCGTCCATCTGAATAACTGCCAAATCGCTCTCCGTGGTGCTGACGTTAAAAAAAACCGTCCCTTTTATCAAATTTTATTGCTGAAGTTTTCACACCTGATGATGATTGCTTGTGTTGCAGTCGAAACGTCGTCATAATTTTATTGTTTTATATTTTTATTGTTTCCCTTCTACATGACTTTACCGAAAGAACCAAGAATATGAATGCCTGCAGTCACGAAAGCTTTAAATCACGTTCTACTTAATTAAATAGACTTTTTAATAAATGTTTTCTCCTACAACATCAGAGCAGCGCCACATTAAATACGCACTACAATGACAATAGTTTAAAGCGATTTGAAGCATGTTTTATTGGGGGGGGGGCAGAGCTTTGTGACATCATATTTGAGGGGGGGGTCTGAATTTGTGACGCCGTGTGATGAGGGAGGGGGGTGGGTCAAAAATCGTCCAAAATCGCGTGACGTCATTTATGAACGGCCCCTTAGGCGCGACTACGACTCATCATCATCATCCCTTCGAGCGACTTCGTTTGTTCTCCCCATGTTTCCCACTTCCGTCTCATTGTCATTCCAAGCGTGCACCGCTCTCTCCGTGCTACAGTGAGGGGAAAAAGTATTTGATCCCCTGCTGATTTTGTACGTTTTCCCACTGACAAATGATCAGTCTATAATTTTAATGGTAGGTTTATTTGAACAGTGAGATACAGAATAACAACAAAAAAATCCAGAAAAACGCATGTCAAAAATGTTATAAATTGATTTGTATTTTAATGAGGGAAATAAGTATTTCACCCCTCTGAAAAACATGACTTAGTACTTGGTGGCAAAACCCTTGTTGGCAATCACAGAGGTCAGACATTACTTGTAGTTGGCCACCAGGTTTGCACACATCTCAGGAGGGATTTTGTCCACTCCTCTTTGCAGATCTTCTCCAAGTCATTAAGGTTTCGAGGCTGACGTTTAGCAACTCGAACCTTCAGCTCCCTCCACAGATTTTCTATGGGATTAAGGTCTGGAGACTGGCTAGGCCACTCCAGGACCTTAATGTGCTTCTTCTTGAGCCACTCCTTTGTTGCCTTGGCCGTGTGTTTTGGGTCATTGTCATGCTGGAATACCCATCCATGACCCATTTTCAATGCCCTGGCTGAGGGAAGGAGGTTCTCACCCAAGATTTGACGGTACATGGCCCCGTCCATCGTCCCTTTGATGCGGTGAAGTTGTCCTGTCCCCTTAGCAGAAAAACACCCCCAAAGCATAATGTTTCCACCTCCATGTTTGACGATGGGGATGGTGTTTTTGGGGTCATAGGCAGCATTCCTCCTCCTCCAAACACGGCGAGTTGAGTTGATGCCAAAGAGCTCCATTTTGGTCTCATCTGACCACAACACTTTCACCCAATTGTCCTCTGAATCATTCAGATGTTCATTGGCAAACTTCAGACGAGCATGTATATGTGCTTTCTTGAGCAGGGGGACCTTGCGGGCGCTACAGAATTTCAGTCCTTCACGGCGTAGTGTGTTACCAATTGTTTTCTTGGTGACTATGGTCCCAGCTGCCTTGAGATCATTGTCAAGATCCTCCCGTGTAGTTCTGGGCTGATTCCTTACCGTTCTCATGATCATTGCAACTCCACGAGGTGAGATCTTGCATGGAGCCCCAGGCCGAGGGAGATTGACAGTTCTTTTGTGTTTCTTCCATTTGCGAATAATCGCACCAACTGTTGTCACCTTCTCACCAAGCTGCTTGGCAATGGTCTTGTAGCCCATTCCAGCCTTGTGTAGGTCTACAATCTTGTCCCTGACATCCTTGGAGAGTCTTTGGTCTTGGCCATGGTGGAGAGTTTGGAATCTGATTGATTGATTGCTTCTCTGGACAGGTGTCTTTTATACAGGTGACAAGCTGAGATTAGGAGCACTCCCTTTAAGAGTGTGCTCCTAATCTCAGCTCGTTACCTGTATATAAGACACCTGGGAGCCAGAAATCTTTCTGATTGAGAGGGGGTCAAATATTTATTTCCCTCATTAAAATGCAAATCAATGTATAACATTTTTGACATGCGTTTTTCTGGATTTTTTTGTTGTCATTCTGTCTCTCACTGTTCAAATAAACCTACCATTAAAATTATAGACTGATCATTTCTTTATAAGTGGACAAACGTACAAAAGCAGTAGGGGATCAAATACTTTTTTCCTCACTGTACAATGCGCATTGTTCAGCATTGTCAGTGCATGTCCACGTTTCCGATTCGTGTCCAAGCAGGTAATAGCCACTTACTGAAAGCTTCCATCTTTAGGCACGTATGTTGCTTTTCGTTCAGTACAGTTTTCGCGACTTTTGTTTTACTCTTCTTAGTTTGGGCCCAATGTCTTGAGCCTAATTTGGCAGTCTTTCGTAAACCCATCAATTTCCCTTAATTCATTTCCATGCACTGAAATTGTTTGTATGGTCAAAGTAAGACGTACAAAATTCCAAGGATGACTCACTCAAACAAGGCCTCGGAAAGCCAGGACAAAGGTGGCAACCCTCGGCACTTGCAACTATAAAACTGGCCACAACCGATAGCTCGGCGAAGTGGCTTATGTGGAAATGTATAGCAGCCAAATACTCTAAAGGAATGTTTCTAAATGTGGAGGAAATAACCCGGAGGACCCAGAGAAAAAGACACACGACCACGGGGAGAGAGACACGCAAGTTCCAAATATACAGCAGGCGTCAGTCGGAATAAAACTCACGACCTCCTGTATACCAGACGGGGGCGTTAACATCTCACCACCATGGCGCCCCCTTAATCGGATTCCTCCTTATAAAGATTCAGATTTTGATAGAAGTGACTGAGGTGTGTGTGTGTTAAAGTGCCCGCCAAATTTCATCTTCCAAATGCTCCCAAAAGTATGTTTAGGATATACGGCTACTCTTGCTGTGTACGCACAAGTTTGAAAACCGTATGGTTGACAACCCCCAGGGTTATTCGAGAAACCTTGGTCCGGTCTTTCCCAAGCAGTTTCTAAGACATCACACGCACGCCCTCTTGAGTTACCTGTTAAGTATTGCATGCGTTCCCGACATTTTTGCGTGGCTTCATTTAAACGCGTTTATGATGCGCTAGCATACACCCAGCCTGTGTGTGCGTTTTGCAACAACTGTACCGCAAA